GGTATATTGATATATATATAATAGCGGTGTGGGGTGGGTGGAGATGTGGGAATGCACAACAACATCAACAACAACAACAAAAAAAAAAAAAAAAAAAAAAAAAAAAAAAGAAAAGAAAAGAAAAAAAGAAACCCCCAACAGCTCATGTCGATAAATCGCACCAAAAAGCCTTAAACCCCACAGAGCAAACTCAATATTCACCGGTCTTAGGCCCTCCTCGGATGTTTCGTCAACGCCTGGAAAGAGGATTCCACCGCCTTCTTCAACTCCTTGTAACTAACGATAAAACAACTTTGCTCGTCTCGACTAACCAGCGTGACCTTTTCTTCAGTCCCTGCATCCAACTTGTTCAGGCAGGTAAGTACATGCCCTAGGTCGACAACCGGTATATTTTGCGCGTCAATCTGGTGAAACACATAGTCGCGAAATAGTTTGAGGACATAGCGCTCTCCATTTTCGGCCCATTGGGGGTCGTGGTCGTATTCGGGACGTTCATTGATGAAATTGAGTTTGGTAAGCAAGCGAACGAGGCGCCCATTTTCGAGCTCCCGGCTGAGGTCGGAGGTGAGTTCGTCATCGAGGTGGAGGGCGGAGTCAAAAGTAGATATGAGCTGGGAGGAGATGCCGGTGACAAAGAGATCGATGTTGCGTTCCTGATCTTTTTGTAAGGCGCTCAATAGCCAGAAGATGGAATTCTTCAATTGGGGAGTGTATGCGCGAGTAAAATGTTCCATGGCTTTTGTCGGATTGTGCATGACGGAGGGTGAGTTTGCTCCCAGAGTGATAATCAGTTGGCCAAAATTTACTAGGTCCTGACTTTGGAGGTCTGTGATCGACCGTTGGGAGTCATGCTGTACAACGTCCAGAATTGCACATGCATTAAGCCGGATGCGATTTTTCCCTGTCAGCAAAATCTTACTAGGATCGATCACTCGTGCTGCCAACCCTACGCTATGAATTGCCTTCAAGGCAGATGCAATTTGAGTTACATAGCTCCATAGGATTTGCTCGGGGATATGTGTTCCGGTTTGGCGAGCCTGATATCGGCTGGGACCACCGAGGTGGTGTTCCGCCAACGTTTTTGACAGAGGGTGGTAGTCAGTGACAATTATTAGGGAGCTGTCCTGGAAGCAACGGGTTGTAAAAGCGTCATGGACTGTGACTATGCTGCCGTTGCATACACGTTTCCAATTTTGGACTGCTCGAATAGCCTTTTCGCTGGTCAAACGGAAACCTGTTTAAAATGACATAAGCCGTGGGTCGATAGGCGGAATATTTTGTTAAGCAAACCTTCAAGTCTCCTGAGAGCGTAGAAGTTGCCATCTTTACTCGATTGAGCCTTATATACCCAACTAGGGTAGCCAAAAATCGCCGCATTTTTCTGGTAGGAAAGATCGAGAGGCACCAAGGAGTGAAAATGGTCTAATTGTGTCGGAAGTTGAGAGTCTTCAGGGAGTTAGCAACGCGGTTACGTATTAGAACAGGGATTAGTTGTATGCTGCAGAGACATACTGGGAAGAGTCTGTAGTGTAGCCGCTGCCTTCTTTTGTAATTCCTCCCGGAAATCGTTTGGGAGGAACAAATCATGGACATTCCTTTGGTAGCCTAATATATTTGAGTTATGTGGCCCGATGGGTGCGTAGAGATGGTATTGAACCTATCGTGCGTTAATATTGCAAGTTAGTCTACAGGCCAAATGAAACGGACATACCGGTTGTTGAAAGGTGTTTTGAGGTCCGAAGTACGCTGCTGCGCCTAAAGCAGTGGGATCGTGGGCGTATGGGTTTGGCGTAACTTGAGGGCCCACTGCGCTCTGAGTTGTTAATTGGGCGGTGGAAGGTCCGATGTAGGGATCGAAAGCGTCTGCTGGTATTCCTCCATTGCCGTTGCCCTGTAAAGTGTCCTGAACATGTTAGTACCCGGCGGCGGTGACAAATAGTATAATTATACGGATTCGTTCGAATAATAATAATCAAAAAAACGCGATAATGATAATCATTGAAATATCCAAGCATACAAGGCTAAAAAGCTCCAATCCACAGCATGCTACAGAGGTGATCTAGAGACAGGAAATTTCAAAAAAGGGAAAGGGGCATCTTACCACTTGTCCTGTATCGAATCCTTGCGGTACAAAATCTGGGATATCTGCGACAATCCATTCCGGAGTAGAAGTATCTTGGAGAACAGGAGGTGTAGAGGCATTCGATCCTGGGGCCCGCTGTCAATTAAAGTACGCTACAATTGCTTGCTCTAGGGAGGTAGCATCGCACGTGAGATTATGCCTTTGGGAAGAAACGGAGCTGCGCTGGCAGCCTTTGGGGAAATGGTAGTTGTGGCTGCGGGCTTTTTGGGTCCCGCTGAGCCATTCAAAAGAGAAGGGGTAAAGCTAGGCGAGTCGACATTGAGTCGTTTCTTGCTGCTGCCAATATCAGCGAACCGAATGAGCCCTCAGCATGAGATGCGACAGGAAATATTGCCTAGCGAACCTTTCAGTGCTGTGCGGGGCGTTACCCCGGTGCGGGTCATGGTTAAATGCGCAACCTTCAACACGATTCAATCAGTGACGTTCAGAACGAGACCCAAGATATTCATATGCGGTTCCTGGCACCTTTATCTTCATATCGACATCGACCGTAAATTGTCACGTTACGGCACAGGGTATCTTTCGCATTTTCTGGGGTTGACAAAAACAGTCAGTAAAAGTATTTGTAGCTGCACATGCGTCTAAACAATGGGATTCATTGCTTAGGCAATCAACTGATCTAGGGAAAAGGCAGGGACCGTAGAGAGATGCATGGGGCCGGATACATACCACGACCTTTCAGCTTCGGCGACCCGGTGGTTCGTCTGGAATCGTCAAAGTTGGCTTTGCCCACCGAAGCCATAACTGCAGATCCGGCACAGCTCAGCACCAAGCAGACTCCATTGACCCGAGAGAAGCAGAGTCCACCAAACCGGAACGTTTAGAAGCTACCGCAATGAGACGCATTCCAGATAGGCCGTCACTGAGGGGTTACCCAACTCACTGCATGCTATCCATGACACGGGCGGTTGATCACGGTCATCGAGGATAGCATTTGGGGATCGGAAATTAGCGGGGTGAAGACTGCGCGATAGAACTCGAAGGAAAGGACAGAGGGAAGTGCAAGTCGCAGCGGTATCGGCCGCAAGATGATGTCGGGGGTTGACAACCACACGAATCCGCGACGAGCTGTGCGCGCCTGATACCGAGATCAAGCAGGGTGGACTTGGGCTGAGTCAGGCCTGGACCAGTGGAAAAGTGCCTTGTACAATACGGTACACGCCCAGCCAGTGGCTTGATGCGCGGCATTGTATGCAGCCCTGGGGGCTTCTGGAACAATATTACAATACCATACGTTTTAATCCTTCTAAAACGGAATCAACGTGAAAACTGGACCGGATGCAGCCTCACGCACTGTCTCGTCGTGGAGAAGTTCCGATACAATCCCCCTCCAGCCTGGGCTTTCTGTCTTCTTCCTATTCCTATAAGCTGCATATTTGACAGAGCCATATTCCTATTACCCTAACTATTATTTTAACCAAATTTACTCCATTTTCCCTTAGATCCCCACTTCTCGTCTCCATGGATGACGACATTTAGACCTTGATGAATTAAAACAAGCTGAATTTCAACGATCGCTGAGAGCATTGAATGGAACTTCGATCACGTTGCCATAATGCCAACCGAAGAGGTCGATCTTTCTCAGCTATCTTCGAGCCAGCAAAATGCCCTCCAAACGTTTATTGCCATTACCGGTGGGGAAGAATCCGCCGCCATCCAACTTCTCCAACGATCCGAATGGAATACACAGGTAATGTTAACCCCCTTAAGATCTACTATGACCAAAGCTAGGATGGAGTGTCTGATAATTCGTGATAGATTGCGGTCACCAAATTTTTCGATGGTGATGGCCCGGACCTTGTCGCAGAAGCACAAGCTGCCCTAAATAACCCTCCAGCACGGCCACCACGAACTCTCCAGAATCTAATGAACGGCGATGACGATATCCCCCTCCGCACTCTTTCCCCAGGGCGCACAACTGAACTGGCGCAGCGAATAACAACATCAACCTATCGCCCTCCATTTTTACTTGCCGTACTCTTCACGCCTTTCAACCTGCTTTACAGATTGCTTTCCAGCTCATTCGGGCTCCTTGGGACAATTTTCCCGTTCCTCCCACGCCTGCTGAATACAATTCCGAGTTGGGGTGCGCAAGGATATAGACGAGATACAAGTGGGCGGAGGCCATTGGGCCCAAAAGACACTGCTCTCCGGTTCATCCGAGAATTTGAAGAAGAATATGGAAGCCATTCCATCCCGTTTCTTGACAATGGATATAATATGGCTATGGAAAAGGCCCACCAAGAGCTAAAGTACCTACTTGTTATCCTGCTGTCTCCAGAACATGACCTTACCAGCAGCTGGGTCCGAGAGACCCTTCTGTCGACGGAGGTTGTGGATTTCATTAACGACCCGGACAACAACATCATGGTTTGGGCTGGCAATGTTCGGGACTCCGAAACGTACCAGGTTGCAAGCAGCCTTGGATGTACCAAATTTCCATTTTTCGGGCTAATAGTGCACAACCCAAGCGTGTCTTCATCTGCGATGTCCATAATAACGAAGGCCCCTGGCCCCACAACGCCAGCTGAAGTTATTGAGAAACTCCGTTCAGCGATTACCCAGAGCCAACCTCTACTCGACCGTGTTCGAGCTACGAGAGCCGAACAGCAAGCCTCGCGGACGATTCGCCAAGAGCAGGACTCCGCATATCAACGGTCGCTTGCGCAGGACAGGGAGCGCGCTCGAAAGCGGCAAGAGGCGGAAGCGGCCCGCCAGCGTGCAGAGAAGGAAGCGCAAGAAAAAAAGGCGGCGGCCGAAAAACTCGCGAACGACTTAGAGCAATGGAAACGGTGGAGGGCGCAGTCGATCCCAAATGAGCCTCCTGCGATCGATAAGAACGCCGTTCGCTTGAGTATCCGCCTAGCATCGGGTGACAGAGTGGTTCGACGATTCTCAGCCTCCACGGGTATTGAGGAATTGTATGCATTTGTTGAATGTTATGACGTGTTACGCACAGATGGAGGTGAGGCAAATGCCTCTGGATCCGGGAACGTGCAACCCCCCGAAGGCTTTGAACATAAATACGGCTTCCGCCTTGTTTCGCCTATGCCTCGTGTACCATACGAAATCGAGGCTGGTGGCTCTGTTGGAGAAACAATCGGCAGAGGGGGTAATCTAGTGGTTGAAACTATCGAGGATGAGGATGAAGATGAGGATAATGATGTAGAGGCAGATTCCGGAGAGGTCCGGGGCTCCTAATGGGAATTAGAGCATTAACGGGTTCAAGTCAGAATTAGATTGGGTTTTCTGAATTCTGACGCATCCTTCTTTCTTTTTTTAATATGGAATACGGAGTTGGCTTTCTCTATCTTCTTGCGTACTCACCGTCTTTACATACCCAATTTACAAACCGGGAATATTCCCATAAAGAAGTTCATATCGTTATCGCACATCATTACACGCAAATCACTGCACCGATCGGTATTGGGCTTCATCCTAATAACATGGTCTCAAACACACCAGGCACCACTTGAATGCCCCTAACCGTTTCGTTAATCAACGAGCAGACTGTATAAAGACGTAATCGCCAACGCTTGTTTCCTCACGTCAAAATCGTAAATCGTGAAATCATACTAAAAGAAAGAAAGAAAGAAAGAAAGAAAGAAATAAATAAATAAAACTAAAACTAAATAAAGTCCTCCGTCGCCTCTTTGATGGTCTGCTCAAAACCCGTCCAACCCCTTCCTGAGATCCTCTTCAGCAAATCCTCAGCTCCTTGATTTGTAACCTTGCTCAAATCTCTGCCCAGACCCGGAAGATCATCAATAAACTGTCTATCCGGATATAACTTCCTCATCGCTGCCAGTATATCGTTCCAATTATACGGCTGTGCAAACGCAAATAACCGCTCGGCACGCACATCCTCATATATCAATGCCGCAACATGTACCAGCGCATTATCCCGCACATTAACGTAATACTGCGGTTTATTAAATACCTCGTCCGCATATTGACCCCTAAACCCTTCCCAGACAGCTTTCACCCAGCCCGCTGTCGACCGAAACCCCTGATGCTGCGAGCTAAGCATCTTGCCAAAGTTCGCATTGGGCAGGACCGTATTGAGCACGAAATCCGGCTGGTTGTCGCTCACCCAGTTCCATGCTATCTTCTCCCCCTCCGTCTTGCTGGCTGCGTAGACGTTATGTCGCCTTTGCCAACCTTCGTACGGCGGCGGAGCCCACGCTGCTCGCACGATATCTTCATTCCACGTCCCTGCATCCATTGTGAATTCCACATTTGGCTGCGGGCTCGCGGCGGCGGTGGATGAGGATGTCAACACCACTCTTTTCATCAATGGTTCTTTTCGAGCGGACTCGAGTATGTTGACGGTGCCGTTGGTGACCATGGGGATGCCTTCGTTGGGGTCATAGGTGACCAGGACAGGAGTTGCGACGTGGATGAGCCCGGATGCACCTGTTACGGCTTCATCGTAGGCGTGTGGAACGGCCATGTCGGGCACTTCGACAAGGTCGAATTTCCCGGGCCCATATTTTGAGCAGAAGTAGTCATTCAGCCAAAGGCCCTTGGTCAGTTTGCGTACTGTGCCGCGCACACGGAAATTGGCTTGGAGCAGCTGGTCAATGACATGACTGGCAATGAAGCCGTTGGCGCCAGTAACGAGAACCAGCGAGCCCAGCGGGATCGCGAGATTCTCGGTTGCGGACGGCATCTCGGAGGCGGAAGTAGTCTTTATACGCAGTTGATAAGGGCCACGATGTGATGAGGGGAAATAATTGGAGGACAATCAGCTAAACATTTGTTTTCATCCAAAGAGTCCAGGTCTCTAGCAAACAGAATAAGCACTTGAGCCTAGTTCGAACCTGGCGTGAGAATACCTGAAACTTCATCAATATCTTCTCCAAGGGATACGCTGCGTCTTTGAGTAGTTCTATAAATATTTTCGGGGAAGGCGAAGGGACAATGTGTTCAGGCAAAAAAAAGTTTTGTTTGTTCGCAGATATAATATTCAAGAGCATGCGAGATTGGCCGGATGCAGCGAAAATAATTTGTTCGTTGCTGCGAGGGCCCACTCCACATCCTGATCCTCCATAATATATTGTCAGCCTTGGTATGGTGATAAAGATAGAACCCAAATGACTATGATGTGCTAAGTTATGATAAAGTCTTCGATATGTTAGTCCTAGTCAAAAACATGGAGGAGTGTCAAGCAATCAAATGTGAATTTTTGGGTGATAACGGGAGTCTTGTCATGGACAATGATGACCGGATAGATAACTAGCAAAGGCTTGTTCTGCACCTATCCCCACGCTAGCAACCTGAGCCATGGATAAGAACCTCAGAGGAACACCACGCAACACCAGCAATTCATTTGACCAGAACAGTCAATGATGGCAAATCGACTGTAATTCGATCTCTCACACAAACTGGATGACCTTATGCTCGACCCTGCTTTTCGCCGTCGTAACTGTAATGGCCGTTACGTTCCTCTCTACTCGATCCTTCGACGGTGACATCGAGGATCATAAATTTTATTAATGGCATGGAGATAGAGGCTAAGTAATCCATTCTTATTGTGGATACGCAACTAATCATCTGGAACTTTTTCATAATAGCAGTTCAATGTTAACTACTAAGTTTGTTGCCGAGTGTTTCCCCAAATGAAGCGGGCTAACATCCTGCTTTTATTTGCGCCGTCGTAACCCAGATACAGAGCTCCCTTGTGGGCGCTATTCCCTAAATATTCCTTCCTGACGTTCAGCAGGAGAGAATTGCTGAACTTTTTCTTCTTGTATATATATATATATATATATATATATATATATTATATACAAATTGACAACCTTTGTGTTGGCATCGAAAATAACAAAAAAGGTCCCAAGAGCCTCCTGGGGTGGCTGCGGGCACATTCTCAGGGAAGTTGAAGCCCACCGAAAACTCGCTCCGGTTGAACCGCAGCCTGCATCGCAAACGGGATTTCCTTTTATGCAAGCTTGTGGCAACAAGATGTTGCAATTAAAATGGTGTCAGCGTCATAATACTAAAACAATATCGGGATGTTGAGAACTAGGTTACAAGGGTATCTTATTAGATATCTTAATTACTGTTGTTTGGAGAAGTGAACTAGTCAACTATACAAGACACCACGACAAACCGCCCAAAAAATATGTCCACTTGAAGTCTTCTAGCATTCAATGCTTCGTGATTCTCATAGCAAGAGAGAGACGCCCATCAGGATAAAGCTGCAGGCCCAAAGACCTATCGCATTCAGACCAGAGCTAGCCCGCTTACTTCCTGAGGGATGTTCAGGGTCATCAGGAGCGTCTGGGGTGTCCTTTATATCCTTCTTGAGGGTCAAACGCTTCAAACCATCACCTTCAATCGTATCAAGCGGGGCCACAAGCGCCATCTGGTTCCACGAGAAGAGCGTATTCTTTCCACCATAAATATAAACTTCAAATCGGCCGCTGAATTTTCCATCAATCCACACTCTGCTTCCACCAATTACGTCAGTTTTAATCGTCAGTTGCGAAGTCAGAGGGACTGTGACAGGCTTATGCGTGGAACTGGTAACATTTGTCCAGATGCGACCTGGATGACCAGGATCGTATCCGTCGCCCTCTGCGACGGAGCGGAGTGGATAAGCCCAGTTGTCGGAGTTGAAGACGAGATTTCCACCGTCATCGAGGGAGAGGGATGTATCATTGGAAGTCAACTTAAAGGGCCCCGTAACGTCGAGAATCAGGGTGTAGTTCATCCCTTTGCTCCCTTGCCCTAATTTCTTCGAGCCCTTTTCGCGGCTCCATTCTAAGAGCGTATCACCTGCCTTTTCGTCTCCCTTTTCGGAGGGCAATCGCCGGTCAAGGTTTTGGCCTGGCACACGATTCGTGAGGAGCTCAATGGTTGCTGACAATGTGTCGGCATCAAGACGATCACCTCGCGAACCGGCCCACATTCTAGCAGCAACAACAGGTATGCCATTCCTCATCGCGTAAAATGCTTCAAGTTGCGTGGTGGCAAATGGCCCATTGTCATTCCAGGCTGCAATGATAGCACCTTTATTGCCCTTTGCGCCGGGCTTAACCTGCTCGGTCACGTTTACTGGATTGAAAAGTGATGGCTCCCATTGCCAGTCTGGTTTGTTGGCGAAGTTCAAAGTCCGTGTGTTATTAAAAAATTGTGGGTAGGTTGCCGGGAAGATAGGGGTGTGGTCACTCTTCAAGGACATGTATCCCCACCAGTCTTCGGAGTTTATGTATCGATAACCATCTTTATTCAAAAGGATGGGGTCGGATTGGCCATACTGCCAATGCTGAATAATAATATCTTTAGAGATAGTCATGTCATCGGAAGGCTCGTATGTTCCCCAGATACGAATATCTTTTCCGGATTTCGATTTAACAAACTTGGACATTTCATTGACAAAGTGGATGTAGACGTCCGCAAGAGTAGGATCATACTCATCAGCACCGATATGCACTTCCTTCGCCTGGAACCATGGGAGGAATTCTTCCCAGATAGATTTAACGAGAGGGATTGAGTCGGGATTAGTTAGATCCAACAAGTCCTTCTTCTCTAATGCAAGCTCTGGTTTCCATTTGGTGAGGAAGAGACAGTGTCCCGGTGCTTCGATCTCTGGAATGATTGTGACGCCACGACGCGCACAGTGCTGCTGGAGGTCTTCGAAATCCGCTCGAGAAAGAGTTTCATTCGCGCGCTGAATGACGCCCTTCAATTCCTCGTTCTCAGGATGTAGTGAGAACTGGGAGTATACTTCATACCACGTATCATTGAGCCCTCGGTTTAGTGGATAGTTGTCACTGCTGTGATATTGGAATTCAGACATCTTGAAGAATGATGCGTATGTGCAAAGTTCCTTCAGGAACGATGGTGTGTACCACTTCCGTCCGGCATCGAGCAGGTACCCACGACTTGCATAAGCTGGGGCATCGACAATCCGGCCAGCCGGGATCTCCTTTTCGCCATGTACAAGCAATAGTTGTAAGAATGTGTGGGTGCCCCAGTACATTCCACGGGCGCCAATCCCACCAACAAAGACCTGACCATTCTTGATTTCCAGCTCATAACCCTCCTCCGACTTAGTACCGTCCTCATAAGTCAATGAATCAGCATCTTGTCTGAACCCTCCTAGAATAATACCTTTGGCATCGCTAGGGACTTCTTTTATGCGCTGAAGGGTCCATTTTTCGCCTGTAGCTTGCTCCAGATCCGAGAGAAAGGTTTCCGCAAATTCATAACCGGAGGGCGGGATGAGGGTCAATCCATTCTCATCTCTTCGTTCCGAAAACTTCTCATCGATATACACCGTTTTGGGGGCTTCCGAGATTGAGAAGCCAGACCCGGGTGTGTTGTCACTGCCAGGCCAATCCACGGGTGGTAGGGTTTGTAGCGCTGCGACAGCAGTGGCAAGCAAGGGCAATAGTAGACGCATCATTGCTTCTGCGCAAGGAGAAAAGCCTAAGTGATGGGGCAGCTGTTGCTTGCATCTACATCGAGTAGCACAGGCATTGTTGGCCTTTTATAGGAAAGGCTGTTTGAAAATAGCGAAGGACCCATAGCTTCGGCATTCAGTAGGTGGATTGTGACACAGCGAAGCAAGCTGTGCGACAAAAAAATGTCGTATGCAGCTAAGGTGCTAGCGAAGCTCCACCAGGCGTGGGGGTGCTCCCGTTTTCCGGGGTAAGGCTCAGATAGGTAACATCCAGGTCACACCGACAGGAACACCGATCTGCAAGTCTGATGAAACTCTTAGACGGTGGTCTGTCTTTGCATGTAACTCATGGACCTTTCGTCCAATGATTGAAATTCTCCGCCTTCTTCTACCCCGCAGAGGTTCCGGAAAACAACCCCCACGTCAGGGGAATCCAGGCAAAAGGTACCTGGACTTGAAACAAGTTGAAAGACAATTGTAGTCTTGGGGGCTCGTAGGGGTTATACGGGCAATGGAATTCAACAGGAAATTTTAGCTCACCACATATGTTTAAAATTACGATGTTCATGACGAGAACTTAACATGTCAACAAAGTTGGGGTCGAGACGGATTCCTATGGGGATTTACCGCTGCATCAAAGGGGCCAATATTTCAAGTAAGGTAGCCATTTTAAGATATGGTATAAAAGAGACTGGTATATAAGTTTTTCATCCATCTGATAGTTACTCACCAGAAAGATATATGTAAAAGTCAAGTTGGGTAACATTGCGTTAAAAACACTCATTTAAATGATGATACCGAACTCCGCTAGGAGAAGACGGTCATGCAATTCTCGTTGATTAAACCTGTTAGGGCTGAAAATATATGAGTTTTAAGGTGTTGAGCTGAACCTCCTTAACTAAGTGCCACTGTGGTTGTCAATGTTCATATCAAGGAGAATGGTTCATTTTTATCGAGCCACTCCACCATGCCAAACTCATAAAGGAAACGATGTGAGTTTCCAATAATTCTTCTGACGAGAAACAGCAAATACTCCGTGCACGTGGTAGCACAATCCCTAAACCTTCAGAATAACAAAAGCATTTCTAAACATGTGAGATTATCAATTGCTGAAATTACACGAGCAGGCTGAATATGGATAACTACGCGCTAGTGTCCTGTCACAGCCAAGAGGTGGGATTCTGTCAGTTACTTACAACATTTCCTCGAATCCCCGCGAACCCACAGGATTAGGAAGCCGGATTATTGCCATCAAATTACACTTGCGTCCCTTTGTGCGGAAATAAGAAGTTCGTAACCCCTCGAATGGAAGATCGGAACGCCTGAATCGTTGTTAGTAAATATCTCTCCTCCTAGCTCTCGAGAAAAGTTGATGGGCTCATTTAAAAAGCAGCATCACAGACCGTTGTTAACATTGCGAGTGGCTTATCACACCGTATGTGGCACTCATCGAAGGTTCCTGACTCGGTTTTCTTTTTTTGAGCCCCGTTTCCACGCTAGATGTCTTGGCACTTTAAGCTTATTTTAGGTTTCTCCCTTTCTCCATGACATCATCAGTTAATGGACCTATATTTCAACGAAAACAAAAAATGATGGAGCTTTTAACTCGCGCAGGACTTCCTCTGAGATCTGCGAAACAGCAAGATTTGTTATATTTGGGTTGTCCCATCTCAAGACCCCTTTTGTGCAGTCTTCCGCCACAATTGTAAAAAGGTCTATAAAATCTGTGCCAACGAACAGGTTGCACTCGGAACAGCCGCGTCGCGTGAAATCCACGAGCTGCCGTCCGTGTAGCTACTGCTGACAGGAAAGCGATTTCTCGTCGCAGTCATAAGTTTAGGCTACAGCAACCGCTATCATCAGCTGACCGATGAGCATCGGTGAGCCCTCGCATTCCGTTTTAGCAACGAGAATTTTGCAATATTTCTATGACAAAATTGGCTGATACAAATCCACCTCTACAGGGTCCGTTGTAGAGATTATCAGCAGAAAAAATCTGCATTTCAAACCCAACATAAATTGTAGATTAATGCATGTAAAGGAGGTAAGCGTTAGTTCAACAAAACTTATACGTGCACATCTATATCGATGTTTCTTAACATTGCTCAAACCAAAATCCATGACATACAATACCACGAGCGGCCCTAATATCTAGGCGCCCACTTACTGTATTCTGCCATAAGAACTTCTACTTTAACATAAGGTTAGCATGGGAATCTACTCCTATATAGCTGCTTTCCACATAGGAGCCAGCCAGCTCCACCCATGAATTCACTCTAGATGCAGGGAGAAGTGACAGGGGCCCATTTTCCTACCTTTGGCAGTGGCTAAGGGATTATCTATTCAAGCACGCCGAAGCAGGACAGGTACACAAACCGATGGGATTCTATGCGCATTGAAGGGTAATGAATGGCGTCTTATAATTAAAACTTTTCTGTGATTGACCAATAATGGCTTATGCGTATTTAAGAGCTCATATTGCTAAAATCCCTGCTTTGAATTCGTGCATGTGTATAGATGGTTACTTCTGTCAGAAATAAGATCTGCGGACTCGCTGAACATAAGTATATTTTCCGAGGAGAGAGTACCTTCGTAATATGGTTCGAAGGTACTGTCTCTCCTCCACTCAATCTCTAGGTGTAGCCCGAATGTGCCACAGATTCTTTAGAAGAATATTTGTATAGCATGTTTTAGATTGAGCCATTTTGTCTCAAGTGAACGGCATAATGGGCCAGCGAGGAAATCGCCGCATTCTGATATAACGGAGTGGGCCTATACGTGGGCAGCCCCGACTGTCTCATGCTTTGATATACATGTATGCAGTACGCATCACATGGACCCGTCGCGCTGAGACCATGGTAAAAGATCTCATCACGGAAGCACTGCCGTTGAGATGTCTACAACGCGAAAATCAGAGCAGCTTACTTGGAGCGAGACAGATGTAAAACGAGGAAATTCCCTTTAATCCTGGGTCATCAACCATGAAGAAAGATTAGGAGAGGAAAGGGACACGAAGAAAAAAATCCAAGGAGAGCATAAAGGGCAGAGGGGAGGGTTATGTCAATGACACAGGGACGAATAAGACGAAATGAGAGAGGGGAAAAAAGAACTCGCTACCATTAAATAAAACAGCATAATAAGGTTTGTTGTCTTTTACGTCTTTATCGACATTTTAAAACAAACAAAAAGAAGCAGCTACAAATTCCTCAATGCGCCGCTTTTTAATCCATTTGTTTGCTTGTTTTGATTTATTTCCCTTATGCTGCAGTGATGGCCCGTCGAATCTGAGCGCCCCGTTGTCTCGACGAAAGTCTAGTCTTGCTGAGGTCGGTAGGTGCCTTCTGTACTTCTTCATTACCTTCAGTGAGGATGAGCTCGATGTGGCATGGGCTGGACATGTAAGGGTTAATCTAAAGATTGGATCTCGAATTAGCTTTACATGTATGGTGTAGCGAAGCTGTGACGCAGTGGCGGAGGGAAAGGAGAACATACACGACCGTGCGCGCGGTAAGTGCGTCGTCGCTGCTTGGGAGCTTGGTTGACCTGGACGTGCTGAACGACAAGGTTGCCAGTGTCAAGTCCCTTGGTATCGGCATTGGCCTCGGCATTCTTGAGGAGGGAGAGGAGGAATTCAGCAGACTTGACGGGCCAACGCGCCTTGGAGACACCGAATTGCTTTCCTGTAGAGCATAAGAAAGCCTAGTTAGTACACATATCGTATGCTAATTGCGAGGGGTTTTTGCATGCTCATTGCCCTTTCTGGGTCTAGATCCATGGGCCCACCAGGGCAGTATCCAACAAATTCTCCAAAACACCGCAATTTTTCCACAAAGTATATATCCATCTCTTCCTTAAAACGAAGACATGTTCGTATTCACTTCCAATCTCTCAAGCCATGCACTCCATTTCCATTCAAGAAACAACCTCATTTCCCGTTGGTTTCCATATTGCCCGGACCATTGAAGGGCGAACTAACGACGAAAACGAAAAAGTTAACACAATAACTCACCCTGCGCACAACGGCCAGTGCTGCCGGCATATCTTCGCATGGGCACAGCCTCCTTGTGAGCTATCACATTCTCCAGAAAAGCAACAGCGCGCTGCAGTTTCCATCCGTTGATCGCCTGTGCAGTCTCGCGGGTGTTCTTGAAGCTGACACGCAGATAGGAGCCGCGGGAGCGTGCGCTCTTCGCGCTGGGGATCGATTGGGCTGCGTAGCGGACCTGAAAGTTCGGATATCCGTTAGTATAACAGTCTTATAATCGTCCTGGAAAGAAATTTTTATTCTGGGGCAGAGTTGAAACGTCCCACGGAGCAATGTCGCGGACGGGTCGACGGGAAATTGAGACGTCATAGCTATCATAGCACAAAAAAGAATAGGGCTGTTGGGAAACTCACCATCTTGATGGAGTTGTCGTGGTAAAAGATAGTCCTCGTTGTCGGGGTTGGTTGAGATAAAGAAGTTTGTCGTCAACCTGTGGCCTGAGCCATTTCCGCCCAGTTACAGTACTGTGAGGCGCGGAGCTAAGCGAGTTCCCGATTTGGAAAGGTGTGGTGGTGGACAGCCCTAACGCTAGGTTACTTTGGCACTAGTGTCATATCTCGTGTTGAACTTGAAATTATCCCCAAATGGTCACAATATGAAGAATATCAATTACATTCAACGTCAATGGCGAAGAATCAATCCATGGCATGCTTATTTTTAGGATGGAACTCCAGTTGAATGGGGCAGAGAAAGTCATCCCTCAAATTACCCTACTTTCGGAAGTAATAGAAACGAAGGACTTCGCCGGAAAAAGAGCAAAAGGTATTATATTATGAATATTATTTAAAAATACTCGACTCAAAACAAATACACTAAAATGAGGGAAGGAAAAACAATTAAATACTCATAAACTGTCAGAAGTGGTTTCTTCAAGAGTTGGCGGAGCAGCGGGAATTCACTCGCGAACAATGTGTACTAGCAGGTTCAAAGCTTAGTATTACGCTGCTCAGGAACCCGAGTGACCAAGTTGGCCCCCTTCAGACATGACTCTAGATTACGGAGGACAAGCAATTCCATTTTCTTTTGCGTCTCGTGTGTGAAAGTCCCTATGTGGGGAAGCAAAAAGGCCCTCGGATGATCACGCAAATCCTTCTCGATTTTGGGTTCGTGCTCATAAACGTCTAGACCAACCGATGCGACCTATTAGGGGTATCAGAATATATTCCAGGGATTGCCACGGTTTGAGCTACCGTGCTTTTGATGGATATTTGCTTACCTTATTTTGCAGAGCTGCGACTAGAGCTTTCTCATCGATCACAGCACCACGCGCGGTGTTTACAATAACCACGCCAGTCTTCATTTTCCTGAACTCAGGTGCCCCGATGATATGCCTAGTCTTATCCGTCAATGCGCAATTGATGCTGAGGACGTCGGATCTCGAAAGGAGATCATCGAAGGTGACGTATTCGGTTCCCTTAGGTTCGGGGTCGGCTCGATTTCGATTGTGATAAATAACCTTCATTTTGAAGGCCTGAGCCAGAAAAGCGACTTCCTATGGAGTCAAAATGCAATTTAGCTATTAAAAATTCCCCTTTTTCGGCAAATTCCGGCGAATGGGATGGCATCAACTTACAGTTCCAATACCTCCCATGCCAAGGATCCCAAGTACCTTCTCTTGGGGGTCATGCCCTAAGGTGGTTTCGCCCCGCCACTTCCCTGAGGGATGGTCAGCAACTAGCCGTATGGCCAAGGCACAGCAATAGAACTATAACGAAATATAATGTCACCTTCTCGAATAGCAGATAATGGAGCCCACACTTTTCTTAACGCGCCGAGCATCAGGAAAATTGCAGTGTTTGCGGTGGCATCATTGACCGCTTGCGGCGTATTAGAAACAGCGATTCCTATACCAAGAATTTAAGCGATTAATATTTCTCAAACTTTTAGTGAGTTACGACATGAAAGCAATAGCAAAAGAATGGCAAAATACATACCTTTCTGGGTGCATGTTGCGATATCGATATTGTCATATCCCGCCCCGTTATGGCAGATGAACCTAAGTGATCTCGGGAGCGCATTGAGAAGCTCGGCATCGAAAGGACCGGTAACCTGCAGAGCGTGTGTAACATGAGTTATCAGCGTGGGGAAGAGGTTTGAATGCATGAATTTCTAAAAGGAACGAATGTTTTGCTCGAACATCCAATGCACAAGATGTGGTAAAATTGTGCAGCCGCCCAAAACCAAATGAAAATAAAATGGACATGGGCTAACCTTCACTGATTCGTTCGACCGATATATCGCGACCACGTCGTTGTACTTTCCGCGTTGACAGTCGGCAAGAAACTCAGCCCGGGTTCCTTGGCAATATTCCTGCAACCTGTCAGCGGGTTCTGTTCTTTCCCTTCCTCTTCTTTTCTTTTCTTTCCCTCGACCAGTTCTCCAGGTGCATGTCACACAAAAAAACGAAGAATGAATGATTGGAACTTGAGGACGGCAGAAAACAAATGACTTCCACCAGATCATTGCCTTTTCAGGTTTAAGGGCGCAGGCATGAAACAAATCCCGCCTCACAATCTGCATGAAGATGGGAATATCGATGCAATGTTGTTTCTTTTTGGGTTGTTCAGCGAGTTGCTGCCTTATCCAAATATCAAGCACATCCGTGATGTCCAAACCTGTTACTTTCTGGGCTTCCGTAGAAGCCACTTGTGGACATGTGGACGTGCCATCCGTTTTCCATTCGTTGGGCTTGGCTTCATGCGAGCATGAAATGCGTAATCGCGTGAGAGAGGCAAATGATACAAAGAACTGAGAAAACGAGAGAGCCGAGGAATTGAATTGAAGACCGGGAAATGGAAAATCGAATCGAATCGGAATAAGGTGATAAATGCCTCCTGACGTCCTCAAGATTCAAGTAACACAACATTTCATTTCAGGGAGCCAACTTTTTCCCAATGCCACGATAAAGAATCATATGGTTCGAAACGGAATTGGAGGGAAGGGACCCAAACAAGGGCAAAGAACCGGGATTAAAAATACGTACACGCAGAGAAGCCAAAGAAGCCAATGCCTTCCACTCATCTTTACAGTGGTCAATATTTCCAATCAGAAGGACTGCTCGTTGCGACATTGTCGTTGATAATCGGATCAATTGGCGGATGGTGAAAATTGGTCAAATCCTCTGGGATATCCGAGGGGTATTACTAGGTATCTCCGTCAGTGGCAATTCGCCTTCCAGGGAATCTCGTTTCTATATAGAATCGCCGAGGGCGTAATATGACAAAGTGATCAATGGAGGGGGGTTATCAAAAGGCATAGTAAGAGCTAGTGCTAAACGCGATCTAGTTGAATAGGTGTCTAAGGAGATATGTGTGGGATGAGAACAAAACAGGTGCATAGGGAAGGATGGAGAGGTGCAGTTATCGAAATATCCATGGAGTCTCAAACGGACTATACATATACTTGTAAGCCTTACTATGAAGCCTTTCGTTCCTCTCGGATCCTGGATTTTGACAAGCAGCACGGAAGTGAATATCAATTAAAACTGGAACCGATGAAAATCAAGTCGACACGGGGAGCAAAGCGAGGCAGACAGAATAAGTTCGTTCACCTGGTGGGTAGGAGTAAGAATAGCAGTGATATCTCTTCCATTCCATTGCGCTCGTTCACTCGTATTTATATCATTTCCAGGTGAGAGCGGAACAATCCTGGGCAGGGGGTCAAAGACTGATGTGGCAGCATCGCGAGCTGGCTTCTTCCTTTATCGCGATGATGTATCCGCTTTTCGACATAGAAGTTTGCGGATGAGTACACAGGGGGAATGCAACGAGCACCCTGTATTAGGGTTTCGTTCGTTGAGGGTCAGCTGGCGCACTCGTTGGGTTGTGGGGGGGCTAAAGGCCGTAGCCGCGCAACAGCGGAACCAGCAGCTACTATTATTAGTCAGTTAGCTTCAGTAGCTACAGTGCTGCGCCATAAGTTTGAAACTATTGAGACTTCTAATTGAAATACACTAGTCCAAAAGTAGTTTAGTATATGCACTGTTTATTATTGTAACTAGCTCTAATTAATTACATCCACAGAGATTTCACTCAATATTTTGTATACCATTCCTTTGCCTCAAGAACTGCAGCCACATGATTTGGCATTGTAATAGAGAGATTATAAAGAATACTTTCATCTATTGAATTCCAGGCCTCTTTGACAGTTTCTATAAATAGTGCCACTGTGTTATCTGCAAACTCTAACTCTGGCTGGATCTTGTAAATCTCCCTCTTCATGATTGACCATAAATTTTCAATGAGATTTAAATCAGGTGAATATGGTGGCCAAGGCATGATTTAAACCCCCATCTCCTTCAAAATAATCTGTACAATTCTAGCAGTATGCACAGGTGCATTATTATGTATGAATATATCATCTTCTTTTAGTATAGTGGGTAGATAAACTCAGTAGAGTTCACAGATTATCTATGAATGAAGACATTAGTATATATCAGAAATAATGAGATTAATATAGAGAATCCTACTCTGACAGATACTTTTTGATGAGCAGATTCAGAATCTTCATTCAGTGATATCAATTCTGTACAGAAATTCTGATCAAATGCTGCTCAGAACATTTTCTTGAATGTTTTACCACATTTTAACTCTTTAATATCTCCTTGAGCCAGCTGTTCTGAGGGTCATAAGAAGGTCCATTTAACTGCAATTCCTGTTCCTCTTTCAACTGTACACTCATCAAACCACTTGTAATGTGACGGCGCCGAGGCGATTGCTACTCGGCAGCGGCACAGAGAAGGATAGTATATAATGGGAAGCCTTATGGGTGGGCTTGATTATCTCGCTTGAACCGCGAACTCGTAGAATACTATACAAATACTGAACTACTAGAGGTACTCGGCACACTAAGAATATTGTATGAGGACAGCGGTAACTCTGGTATCTTATTGTCAAAAGATGAAAGACGAATCGCTGGCTCCTGGAATAGAGAGCCAGCATCTAGCTATTCTATATAGACAACGGGCAGCCATCCTCCCCTCACTCTATGAGCGAGGGTAGCCGAAGCAACTCCGCAGTGGCGCTGCATTGATCTGCCAGAAGGAATCTACTGACCCCGTATAGAAACAGGTTTCTCATATCCCATCAATCGGATCCTCTTCTATTGCATCCGAATGATGTCATAGGGTGGTTGGAAACCGGTTCGGACACCTGCGTGACGTCATGGGATAGATGGGATTATCCGAGGGGAAGCGATGGGCCGTGTGGAGCCGTCACGGGGCCTTGGCACAACCAAGGGTGTGACACCACTTCACTTCACGTCAATCAGCAGATGTGTAGTCTTTATAGAGATCTGCTCAGTAAAGATATTGAGCTGCATGTGTCTCTTTTAATATAGAATAGATGCATTGAAGCCATCTTCTTTTTCCCATCTCATTTATAAGCTGTTGTATAGATCTTGTTTTAACCTTGTCATTCATCTCAGCACATAGATTCTTAGTTAATATGTGAGGATTGAGATGAACAATCAGATCATATATATGATCTCACTCTGTTTCAGATAACTTTTTAGAAGCTTCAAGCTATGATTTGAACACTTCATTATCTCATTAAATAGCTCTGCACACAGTGGTTTTGAGAGTGTTTAATAGGATTTCAGAGTGGATTCAATGGATATGAGGGTAGGTATATCCTTGATTTCAAAGCTCACATATGCAAGAACGCATTTGAGGGCTCAATTCTCTGTCTCAGGTCATAGTGGATGATAGTGGTGGAGAAATATAACTAATAAAAAGACAGTAGTATAAGAAAATAGTTGCAGAGGGTATAAAGATTCATTATTTTGAAGAAAATATGTGAGGAAGAAGATAGAGAAGAGAGAGGTGTATTCTATGTATAGCAGTATAGGAGTGAAAAATAGGGGTAAGTGAGTGCTTTTAAATATCATATGACACTATAATCACTACTAACTACTGTGAGTTAAACTACTTTTGGACTAGTGTATATCAATTAGAAGTCTCAATAGTTTCAAACTTATGGCGCAGCACTGTAGCTCTTAGGGTGATAAAAGTCTAACTATCCGTGAAGCAGAAGATCGGCAATTGATATACCCAGGAAACTTTATTATAGATTAAGCTTTGGACTGATGGCAATATCAAACAGACGAAGGGAAACGCCGGCGGCGGGCGCAGGACCTGCCAGGAGGATTATGTAGGCAATGCTGGTTTGAGTTCTGCATGCCCTCCTTTTTCTTCCCCAAATCTTCCCTACTCAGTTTGTTCCTTCAGTTCCCAGGCGGATCATCCCCTAAATAACGTGACTCACCACCCAATGAACTCATCCACCCAACACACTCCTATTTTTTGTGGGAACGTCCAAGTCATTGTATTAGCATGTCGGCAGCTGAGGCATATACTATGTATGTGCGGTGCGCTAGTCCGTGATAGGCAGCCTAGAGCCAACATTTTTTCCATGAATCTGTGACGAGTTAACACCTGTTAGTAGTTTTCTGCCCACATGCTCCCATACAACGCTTCTCTCCTCGCAATTCCACTCTGCACTTGTGTAGTCTCTAACATTCTTCCACTTCACACCTCATTGCAGCATGATCTTCAATATTCTTTCATTCTGATTCTTTCTTTATAAAAATCTTCTTCATATAATCTTTTCTTCTGATCTTCTTTCTCTTTCTTTCTTTTTTCTTAATCAATTTGTAAACCGTATATAGAATTGTAATGGGCGCAATGGAAATATCTGATAGACAGAGAATTCAGATAGCAACTCTTGAGAAAACTCAATTTATATAAACTGTACATCCACTTCTGGCCCGATGTATGGCCATTCATGGCAGAGATAATCAAAGCACACAAGTGCTAAAGAGAGCAGCGGCAGGGTGATTGCTCACAGAGAGCAGAGGCAGGGCAGAGGCGGAGCGGAAGCAGGGCGGAGGCAGGGCGATTGCTCACAGAGAGCAAAGATCAAGGCCTGGAGGCCAATGAATGCTGAGTTCACTGAGAATCAAACACTCATAACAACCGCTCTGCTCTTGGCCATCATCACTACGGAGTAGATGATGTTATCAGGCTGCACCACGAGGAGGTGGCAGAGTCGGACTTCGCAGCCCTCATTAAACCAAGTGATCCACCTGATCTCAGATTAATCATTAACTAGATTCAAAATAACTTATCAAAGTGTCTAGGCATGCTTTTAACCATGTGTGAAGATGTAGTTAGCATGTTATTTCAGCAGTTCTGTTGCTTCTAAGGGCCATAACCTGTGGGAGGATAACGTTGTTGTCATTACTAACGATCTACGCGAGAGCAACACAATATGTTGGGGGGCGCGTGATATTGTGGCGGACGTAAAGCTTGCGAAAACAGAATTTTCTGCCACCCCCTGAAAAATATTAGCAAAACACTGCAAAAATAACCAAAATATCCACGTATTTCTAGAATCATTCAAATATCATCCAATTCATTCAAATACACACCTTTATCATTAAATACACACTTTTATCATCAAATCTGTCAATATACCCTGCAACACCCATCATTTTACTGTCTCACCAGCTTATAAAAGAACTTCAACTACTCTGCATCTTCATCTGTTCAAACTGTCTGTTCCAGATGTTCCAGATAATGATGAGAATTCAACTGATGATGAGAAGAAGAATATGGAGAAAGAGGAAAAAAAGAAAAAAATACAATTAGAAAATTTTTAATTTTTATGAATATTTATTTCTGAGTTTGAGATTTCATTCAGACTGTATGAATGAGTGATTATCAATGAAATAAAAAAGTCTATAAAGATCAAGTTATGAAATATCACAATAAATGATATAATTGTCAACTTCTATCATATTCAATACACTGCAAAAAAAATAGCTGAAAAGCATGTTATAACGCAGAACTGTAAAAAAGTAGAAGTTGTAAATTATATAACAATCATCTCATCAAATAAATATAAATCTTCAATTAAAATCACTTTTGAAAAGGAGACAGATTGAAGAGAGATTATTATTTTTTTTGAAAAAGTTATATAAAAAGAAGATGAATGAATTTAACATTAAGATTATCATTTTATTTATTTTTCTTGATATTTTAATTTTATTTTCAAATATCTTTGTAATATGTGGTTCTGCAGCTTTCATTGAAATGTTGGATTCTTAATTAACAATCTAAACATTGACATCAAAAAGAGTATCAAATGTTAAAAAAGAAGTAATCTCGTCATTTATTAAATTTTTTCTTTTTTATTATTCTGTTAAATTCTTTTGAATTCATAAAATATTTGATGATGAAAAGCTACTGCCTACATGTACAAGATCTACAGTCACTAGTCAGCAGTTGAAAAAAATTTGAAATCAATAATTAAATGAATATGATTCTTGAGCATGAGATAACTGCTCATTGACATTATCAAAAAATGAATTGTCATAACTTTGAATAGAGTATTTATTGAATAGCTTTTAATAATACTCATATTCAACTTCTGAGTAATGAGATTGCCAGTTGAATAGATGATGTTGAATA